TGGAAAACATGGTCATTCATGCTCCCATGTCTTAAATGACGATATTTACTCTGAAATGTTTGCGACTTTTCTCCTGTATAGGCAACTGCTTCTAGCTCTTGGCAATTACTAGAGGCTACCAAATAAATAATAACAATAATAATGGTAACCTTACAAGACATGACATTAGTAGATTGCTGAAGACCCAGGAAACCTGAGTTGGAATCTCAAGTTTACTCCCTACTAAATCAAGTCCCTCTCCCCACGTGGCCTTAGGCAAATTAAGTAACCCAGAATTGTTTAAAGTCTGGAAAGCCAAATGTGGTCAACAGGCTTTTAGCCCCAGCTGGGGTAAAAAGATTCCCTCAAAACTCAAGTTCAAAACCAGCATAGGCAACATAGTGTGACCACTTCCTTATCTCAGAAACAAGGCTGAAAAATGAAAAATCAGGGCTGGTGAGATAGCTCAGCAGTCTAAAGCACCTGCTTAGGCAAGTTTAGGCAAGCTCAGGGACTTTGGTTTGATCCCAGCACCACATGCCATGCCAACCCTGTTTCCATGGTGGACTGAGCCAGCCACACACACACACACACACACACACACACATAATAATAATAATAATAATAATAATAATAATAATAATAAAAGTGAAAAAAAGACAAATGAATAAAATAGAAGTGGTGACACCTATGTCGCAGGTGGGCATGTGTAGCTTGTGCTTGTAATCCCAGATCTTGGGAGGCTGTAAACAGGCAGATCAGATGTCGCAGGGCTGTTGTGCAAATATTAGGGGTATAGGAAGTCACTTGACACACAGCAGGTATTCAGTAAGGAGTTATCACTATTCAAAGCTACTGAAGGTGGGCCATATGATAATGTTTCATGTTATATAAGCATTGTTTATTTTAGGTGATTTAAACTCCCTCCAGGGGCAGTATGAAAAGAAGTCCCTTATCTATTATCTGTATGTCTGTCACTCTCATTTTGCTTTGTATTAAGTCTGCGCAATTTAGTCAGTTAACAGCGACCACCTTGCCCATAAAGCAAAAATATTCTGTTATCAACTCTGCTATTCCATTTTCATGAGTATTCAGCCCTTCAGCCCAGTAGTAACTGTGTAAAAAGTGTGATGAATTATAATTCAGTTCTGATTGCAATGATCGGCACAAAATAGAAAACATAGATGATCCAAGATGATCTGGGCTTTGCAATTCTGTGCATTACGTGATCTGGACACATAAAACAGGAATATCTTTGAATGTAACAGTTTTCTTCTCATAAAGCAGAATTCTTTTAATTAAAAACATTTTTTAAAAGTTCAGTATGTGTAATTGTTAACACCTGCTATGTGTTACCAACAGATGTTTCTTACTTACCTAAGGGAACTGTTTAATTATTCGGTATGCTTCCTGGAATGGCATTTACCAGATAGTTGGTAAAAGTTTAGTTGGTGACTTTGTGAGTAACAGTTAGCATTTCTTTAAATCCCTTCCCCTACTGCTGTCAGTGCCCACAAAACAACCTAACCCAGTTCACACAAAGTATCCTTTTGAGAGTAACAAAAACAGCAAAACTGACATAGATTGCACATATTTTAGTCTTCACTAGGTAACTGAAATTAAATCATGTGTATACAAAAAAATTATAAAATTGATTTGCAGAAATTTTATCAGCTAATTCTTTCTTTTTGTAGATGTATTTGGTTGTTGCAGGGTCTTACTAAGCAGCTTGGACTCAGTGATCCTCGTGCTCTCAACCTCCCCAGCATTGGGATTACAGGCATACACAACTATGCCCAGGCTCTCTGGCCAACTGAGCCCACCCTGGGGGCAGGGCTGGAGTGCCATGTGGTGCCAGGGATGGAACCATGGTGCCTGAGCTTGCCTAAACTTGCCTAAGCAGGCGCTTTAGTCTGCTGAGATATCTTGCCAGCCCTTAGCAGCTAATTCTTAGTGTTCAATATGGTAGCCTTACATTTTTATTGTAAATGTAAATCTGTACCTCTTACACAACACCTTTCTAATAGGCTGGCTTCGAAGGAAGCTATAGTAAATATGAGTCTTTCTTTTTCTCCTGAGGTCTTATACACTTTCAAAATTCTTTATTTATGATACTAATCACACGCTTAGCCACAGGCATGTGTTAAATATGACACTGGCTTCCGGCAAATAATGGCCAATTGCAAACAATGAATAAAGAGAGGCAGCTCCATTTATAACTGCTGTTTCAACAGAGCTCTATTGTAATCATAGTGATCTGAGGGTGACTCATTAATTAATTGGTGTTCTTTTTTATTATGTGCTATTGAGTTAATGAGTAATTTGTGTGAGATAATTCTCTGAACACACTGATAATTTGAGATATTTTCTAGGGCTTCCATATCAATGACATGCTGAATAGGTAGAAGATAGTGTTCATATTTGTGTGCTCATTATTAGCAGGTTTGTGGTGGGCTTGAGAAGTGATGAAAGACAAATTTATGTTACTGGATCTATGAAATACCCTCCTCCTGTGAGTACTCAGGGCAACTCCTGACACATAGTAGGAGTTCAATAAATGTCAATTGAAATAATAGCTCTATCAATCCTTTGCCTTCTATTACGCTAACTTGCGTTAAAATCACATTTTTGAAAACATCTGTAATGGTGTTTTTAAGGAAACGTAATAAATGAAAGGCTTTTGCTAAAATTGTATTCTGTGCTAATGGCCTATTACAACAAATATGTAGATTGTTTTCACAACTTACTGAAGTGAACACTAAACATGGTTGGCCTCTATCATTTCTATAAAATTGTTTAAGTGATTATTCCGAGAGTGATTTGCCTAAAGTGATAGTTAAAATGAAACCACTTGTGCATGGTAAATTTTGCTACAGATATAATTTGCACCACCCTGTTTCATTTAAGGCATACCACGTCTCTCTTGCAAAGGTGAGGTTAAGTTTTTTTGTTTGTTTGTTTCAATTCATTTTCCCAGAAATAAGAAATTTCAAATTTAGTGTGATGACAGCTACTCGGTTGCTTTCAGAAAGATCATTGGAATTTTGTATAAATGTACAAAAATGACACCCAGCAATCACTATGGTCTTTTATCTTCCCCAAAGATGTAAATGTGTCGTCTATCTCAGACATCCAAAACACACTACAGTATTTGGAAGAAATGCTTGAGGTACTGTTTCTATGTGCTCACCTCTAGTAACCCAACCTTCTGATACATTTTCTTTTTTCCTCTATTTTCATGGACTCTGCAGACTTTCTAGATATTATTTTGGATTTTGCAAATTAAGTGCAGTCAAGTAGCAGAATACCCCTTTACAAAAAACATAAATCCAAATATTGAAAGGTGAATGAAAGAAGCCAGCAGATATTTATTAAGCAAGATGAAAGTGAAATTACAAACACAGGTCAGCTCTGAAACTCAGCACGATGGTGGACTGGAGATGGTTGGTCCTTCATCACAAGCAGCCTGTAGGAAAAGCAAGGTAAGGAGGGGCTCTGCTGCTGGAGAAATCTGAGCTCCAATGGAGAAGGAATCCTTCCTGGGTATAGGATAACAAGCTCAGTGATGTTGAGGGCTACACAACACAAAGGGGAAAGTTGACAACAATCAGAGGGGCTTTGAGTAGTCAAGAAAATTAGCTTAGTACTTCAGGTCAAAATGTTACTATTTGGGCCGGGGAGATGGCTCAGTGGAATAAGCGCTTCCCTGGCAAGTGCAAGGGTCTGAGTTCAATCCCCGGTTCCGAAAAAAAAAAAAAAAGCTACTATTTGTGGGCAATTAGCTGTAAAATAACCTACAGTGGAAAAACTACTACTGTTTTGCTTCACAATTTCATGGAGATTGAAGGTAATCTAAACAGATTAAGGCTTACTCTTCAATCCAGGAGAGTAAATGTGTTGGGAGTAAAAAGCATTAAAATTAATCCATGAAGGATTAAACAAAAGAACAATTTGTGAAAATCTTGTTCAGTATTGGAGTGATAAGGGTAATTAAACAACTTCAACAAACTAAGAGAATTTTTTTCTTATTTTACAAATTTTTTAACATATATGCAAAACCATTTAAATTTTTTAAAAGGTCATTTGAAAAAGATACTGACAAAGTTTGCATTCCTATGAATTTCACACAACTGTTAATGTAGATTAGCAGGGCGATGACATAAGAAATCACTTCTTGTTATTTTTGTCCCCCCTCGAGTTTGTTTTGTCTGTAAATTAGTGTAAGGCTCTGAGGGTTAAATAATAATTACTTTGTGGGCTCACATGGCTAGCTTTAAAATCCTTTCTTCCGTATATCTCAAATTTTGGAGACGTGATTTCAACACTATTAACCATGAAGCGTCTGGAAAAATACTTATCATTTTCACATATCTCACGGAACCATCTTCTTAAAAATAAGAGGCAATATTCAGACTCACATGCATGATCATCATAAAGCTTTGTTTCAAAACAACTCAAATTTACACCAGCATTATTTTCAGCTTTATATGTTGGCCCCAAAACCAAGAATTCTGGAATAATATTTAATTCTCATGTGTCACGCACACATTGGCAGGAACAATAAATATACAAACAACAGTGAGACGTATTTGTTTCCTAAATGATCAAGAAAAAAATTGTTTAAAAATGAAAAGACAAACCACAGCACTGTGTTTGCTGTAGAAAGGTAGGACTTCTTGTGACTATTTAGAACTAGGTTTGCTGAGAAGTATTTCCACTTTAAGTAGCAGTTACCAAGTGCAAGCCACCGCAAGAGGTGATCACATTCCTGTTTTTTTTTTTCCTGTTTCTTCAATGGTCATGTTCCAAAATTTTTGTTTCTAGATCTTTCTCCTTTATTAGCTATCATTTAAGTAGAGGGAAATAGTTCACCTTTCAAAACTAGAATGATATAATTTTAGCCTAGGTATAGCGTATTCTGAATTGATGATTACGTAAAGCTATGAGGAAGAACAACATGTCGAACTCCAAGTGTTCACTTTTTGAATGTGAAAATAAATGGCAAATAAATACAGAAAAAATAGAAAATAATCATTCTCAGCTTTTCATCCATCCCTTTGTTTCTCTTCTTCTAGAAGATTCTACAGTCGTGTTGCTGTAACCTCGCTACTCAAATACCATCATAGCTTCTATACACGTTGTCATAATTTCAGTGGATTCACATGCAGATCTTTTCAGTGCCATGAACTCATTAAGCAATAGTTATTAAAACCTTAGCTCCTGGGGAAAGATCCAGGCAATGCTTATACGAGAAATTTCATTTGTCCTTTTAAACTTATCTCATAATTGTGGTAACACTTTTTCAAGTAACCCTTTGGAAAAATTTTACATGATACCCAAAGGCACTAGTTCACATAGGTGGTGTTGCTGAAAAAAAAAACCAAAGCTATTTTACAGGTAAATAACACATAAATGATATTAAGAGGATAACAGTTAAGCTTTAAGGATATTCTAAAAATGGCACTTTTCACGTTGGTATAAAATGAAAGTGCTTTAAGATGAAATTTTATGTGTTTTTAAAGCTGATTTTTAACCCCCTGAAAATAGGGGATTATAATGAGAACACCGATAGACCCTAAATCATAGTGGCAGTAAGTAGTGGATGTCACTAAAACGTTTCGTGTGTCTTTATTTTTTAGTATTTTTTTAAAATGCTGATAGACTTGCTTTATCTATCGTGTATCATTAATGAGATTTGCTCTTCAATTCTTTACTAGAAAGTTACAGCTCATTTAAAATAGCTGGTAGATACAGAAAGCATAAATATATAGTAAGTTTAAACACTGATTGTACTAAATGCAACAATACAAAGAAGCAAACAGAACACAAATGGTAACACAATAAAACTGTATTACATTTGTGCTTCAAATAGTCCAATACATTATATACAATAGTCCAAAATAAACATCTCATGCCAAGTGACACAAAAACAAATAGCAAGCAAAAAAATCCAGCAATATGTACATTACATTTTTTCTTTAATAATAAACATTCAACTCTGAACTGGGGTCAATTTCACTACATACAGATGCAGTCCGCCTGTTATTCCGTATAACCATCCTGTTTCCCTATATCTACGCTATTCAGTAGGTTCTGGTGTCAATTCTTATGTACATGTGGAGCAAAAAAGATAAAAGAATGTAGTGCTTTGTATTCGTAATGGGGTGACGTTGATAGATCAGCGAACCTGGGGTGCATAACCTTCTTTCATTAAGCCTTCCTCGTAGTCCGTCTGGCAAAGAATCATGTTATTCTTTAGGAAAAATTTGTCTCCAACGCAAAATCTGAAAATATGAAAAATTAAAATGTGTTAAGATGATTTTTCTCAGATCTATAGATTTAAAGACTTATTTTCCTAATAAGAATTTCCCATGGTAAGTTTTTCAGTTTGAAAGCTTGACTTTTAGGACGTGGCCTTCTTTATCAAAATTAAGACCATTTAGTTCACTTAATGTGACATTGCATATAGCATTTGAAATTCCGTCTTTACACATAGAAAAGCTGTAGGAACATCAAAGTAAACACTTTGAGGGCACCAGAGGTGATTTAGTTTCTTTAGTGTTTCCCTTAACTTTCTTTATTTCAATACATTGGAAAGAAAAACACAAAGTAACAGACTTTTATTTACATGCAATAAAATAAAATAAAGAATGATAATCATATTTCTCTGCTGTCATTATAGGAGATGTCATCACTGGCCATTTATCCATTTAATAAAAATCTAAAAGACATTCAAATGAAGCAGATGATTAGAATACAGCCAATTCTAAGATTTCCCACTTAAAAAATTCCTTTTACTCTGTTTTTAAAATAAGACTAAATTCCACTAATTCAGAAAGCATTCATTCTTAAAGGAAGCCTGCATTAGTATCAGACTCTGATGCTGAGCTCAATTCCTTTGTTTGGGACAAATTCACCAACTATGAAATAGTAGATGACATTTCTTGGATGCTTTCCAAGGAGAGCAAAGGAAATCACCTGATTGAACTTTTTAATATGGATGTGATAAATAAAAATAGTTACCAGTAGTTAATTATGCATTTTATTTTATAAAGAATGGTTTAATTGCAAGATTGTAATGTTTTTAATAAACAGTCTCTTTGTATAATTTCTCAATGGGTGACACTTTGGACACAATTAAGGTCAGAAATAAATGCCTGGGCTGTTTCCAGTACATTTAACAATAAAGTAACTCTGGGAAGATCTGTATATATATTTAATTGTAACAATTTAACCTTCAAACAGTGGTGTTTGGTAGAGCTGCCCCAGTAAAACTCCTTGTAATTATACAGGTTGACCTCCCTGATCTTTGATAGTGGTCTCTCTTTATCAGATAGTCAATTTCAAATGATGTTCTGGCAGAAATCTTGGTGGATAGATTAAATTGTGCAATGAAAGCCACCCTTTAATGTTTTGTGAAGTTGAAGGTTTAAAGGAGAAGCAGTTGGACTGATTTACATTTGCAAAGATTGGAATGCTAGACAAACAGTGAACCTATTTATTTTCCAACTGGGTAGCTTTGGAAATTTATCCTTATACTAGCTAAGTAGATAGAGGGGAAAATAGTGTAATAAAAAAAGTAGATTGAAAAGAATTAGCTTTCCCCTTAAAGGAAAATTGGTCTGTTTATTTGTGGAATTTACTTTTTTCCCCTGGATTACTGCCTGCTGATGATGTTGATTGAAAGTACAGAGGATGCACTGATCTCGGAATCCTGGAGTTGCCTGTGGCCAAGGCTATTGGACACAATAAACCTTTAAGTTTGGAGCTGTAAGTGTATTTTCTTCGTGTTAGTTGCAAATTATGTGCTTTAAGTGTTGCATTTAAAAAGCTGTGATTGGATAAACCAGCATTTGCAATTCTGATCGCTAAGACAGGTTAGATAAATGAAAATATTTGTGATGCTGGACTGGCTTCAGTAGCCAAGATATATATATATATATATATATATATATATATATATATATATATATATACTTAGGACATCAAGCATATAGCTTGCGGTTCAAAAATCATCAATTTATATTACTATTAAAGTTAATTTCAACAAATAGGAAATAAAAAATTAAATAATAGAGTTAATGAAATACTTGTGCTTCCCAGCTGATGCTACTGAATCATTTTTCCTAGCAAACAACTAATCTGGAAATACTCTTTAAATGTTATATTGTCTTACATTTTGCTTTAATTTATTATTAACCCTTTGAATTCCATTACTCAGCAAATAAAAACATGGCCTCTGTCAAGTCAAATGTCAGGTCATGCCTTTATATCTTGCTCTTAGAGGCCTTGAAATTTAGAAACTTCCTATTTGTACATGGGAAAGTGCAAAGTAATTATAGTGAGAAAAGTATAGAGCCAAGGTCTGGGGAATCTGGCCTCAAGTCCTACCACTATCACCAGCCCTGAACAAGGAGTGGAGGTATTTTCTACTTCTCTGTGAGAAAGCCCTACATAGAGCACTGGAGTGTACAGAGGTTCAAACAAAAAGTATATGGAAGGCAGAGGAGTGCATTGCTGTGAATGGGGCCCAAATCCCTGCCTTCCACCTGTGATAACTGAAGATGAAACTTTGGTTTTCTAATCAGTACTATCAGCCATTTTTGAAAATTTATAGCAAAGAACCGAAATGAAGTATAGGTAAAGGAATATAGGTAAAGTAGCCACCTTTTGTAAATTGCTTACCATATTCTAACCCTAAATATGTATGAGCTGTGATAATAAAACATAATGAAAGTTTAAATAAAATATTTTTAAAAGTATTATGTAAAAGAGACTCAGCCATTAATCCCCTGCAGAGTCCTCTTCCTCACTTCAAACGTACTGATGCTATCATTTTTTCTCAATTTCTGAAGCAGCCCCTGCAGTGGTCCTCTGTGAGAGTCTTTTTGTGACTACCTTGATGCCCTGAATTGATTAAAAGAACGTTGATTTCTGTCAAATAAAAACATTATGCTGTGTCTTCATCCATCATCTTCACCGGATTCAGCACTGGGTGACTCCTCGCTCCTACCCAAAGTGACCATGAAAGGTAGACATTTTGAGTCCACGCAGGGCATGGACGCAGTCGTGGCTATAACTAAGAGGACTTCAAGACGGCCTTACGATCCCGCATGAAGGCAGGCAGGCGGGTGTTCCAGAGGAGAGGAGGAGAGACGCCAATGTGTGCTGGCCAATGTATGAGGCTTTTTAGAAAAGTTAAATAGTATCTCATGTTTGTTTTATATAGTATGAGCTAGAAAGTATTACCATTGCCTTTCCAGAAGGAAAATGTGAGATTCTGGAAATGTGAGATTTAAAAAAAATATTTGCGCAAGGTTCTATACCTTGATTATTTGTAGAAGAGGAAGGAAAGTCACTCAGACTTCTTTGGATTCAAGACCCAGGATTTTAAGAATGAGCAGAAAAGAATGGAGAGTACAAGTAGAATTTGAATGTAGAACGATTATTCAGTCTTTATTATTATTATTATTATTATTATTATTAATTTATTTGCATCACTTTTAGCAAATCTGCTAGCCATTCAAAATGATGTAAGAGATCTTATGCATAGCTCATGGAACGGTTTTCAGACAAATTTCTCTATTGAGAGAGGAAGAAAGAATATATTTATCTAAAATATTTTGCTAATATGCTGTCAGCTATAAAATACATTTTATGTGCTTTTCAGTTTAAACTTGAAGGTCAAGGTGAAATAGAACATGAGTAAGAATGTCACACACATATAACTAGACAAAAGAAACAGCACTGACAGCTGTGGTTAAGAAAAAATTATGATTGGTGTACAATTAAGATTAGATTGACATCCTTCTTAAAAATACTCTGTATGTAAACACAAGGAAATTAGAGAAATAGAAATGTAGTCATAATGTGCTTAACAAAGTAATTTTACAGTGATTTTGTAAGAAAGGCTAATTTACAGTTTTATATAAAACACATTCATATATATTATAAAATACATGCTAACCTATTTATGTACAGTAGAGTTGGCCAGAAGATGGTGTAAGTGTATTAATAGGCCAGACTAAAGCTCTTGAAAATAAGTAAAAATCTTCTTTGTAATCTAATCGTAATTGTTTGTGATATGGTTGTATTGATTAGTTCTTCCCTCATTAAAAAAAAAAAAAAAGTTAAGGGGGTCGGCCAAATAGCTCAGCGAACAAAAGCATCTGTTTAGGCAGAGTGCAGCAGCCAGGGTTTGATCCCTGGAGTGTCATTCTGCCCCTCACTGAGAGGGTGGTCGCACTGAGATGGTGATTGAGACTGGGCATGGTGATGTGCACCTGTAATCCCAGCTCTTGGGAGGTTGACCACAGGCAGATCACTACAAGTCTGATCTATGCAGTGAGACCCTGTAGACCCTGTAGGCCCTATAGACCCTGTACTAAATTAAAAAAAAAAAGTTCAGGAATAAAAAAGTTACCTAATTAGATTATTAAATCATTTAATCTTCATGTTTTATCATTAAGAATACACCTAATTAACATGTATTTCAGGGTGATTACAGCTGTCTTCAATTCATATGGTCTTAGCAACTTGAGGACCATAGTACACAAGCACAACTAATAAAACTTATAAAATACCAGTCTTAGAGAAGTTTGGGGCAAGTTATCAAAAGCTGTGCTAAACTGTCTCCAGCCATAACACACCTTTTTGGGAACATACATTTAAGAAATGAAAATGTTACTTTAGTCACCTTATTTAAGATTAGTGTCAGCCAATTATAACTAATTTCTATTTCTATAACACTTTGGAAAGAAGAGGGAATCTAAGACATAGTTCCAATGTCTATTTTCTATTCAGTATCCACAGCTATTAAAAGATAGACTGTCTGCCTATACTGTACTATTTTCAGCAAAGGGTAGAGGTTATATATTCTTCCTAGAGCTATAATCCTTATGAACAAATGTACTGTCTTTTCTTCGCTGGCAGTCCAGTTGTCCTTCCGTATCTCCTTCCAAACAATCCGTTCTCTACCAAGAACCATAACCTATATGTTGAATCTTGCAAAACTTGTAAATTAGTTAAAATTGACCTTACTTTAACTCTATCTTTCCTATTTATATTCTCTTAGAAAATACGATAGCTTTTTTGAAACAAGTTTGAGTCTATGCAATAAAAGCCTGGTAACTTCTAACTGGGTAGTCTCGGGGAAGTTACTTAAATTTTCGGTATAAGAGCTTGTTTATTTATAATGAAACTCCTATATATGGGGGATTTTGAGCCTTAAATGAGTTCGTTTATGCAAACTCTATGAATAGTTCCTGATTTGCAGTTGATACCATATAAGTTTTCTATTTTTTATTAAAGATAATCTTGTTATTTATAGAAAAATATTATATACACCATTCGCTAGACAGGAACCCTGCTCACTCTTTTATGTCTACTTAAGTTATAAATATTCCTTACTTTCCATTCCATCTACTAATATTTCCTGACCTACAGCATCCGTTTTCGCTATGTTATTTACCCTGGCTTTTCCAACTTTCTCCTGAAAGTTTCCAATCTGGCCAGCCGATCTGAGGAAAGTTCCAATCAATCATATTACCTTGAAGACTGGCCAACTAGCTCAGCAGATTAAAGTGCTTGCAAGCAGGCACAGGGTCCAGGTGTTCAAATCCCCTGGCTTGCCATACAAGCTTGACCCCTCGGGGCACGCTGAGAAGGTAATTGAGACTAGACCTGGTGGCGCATGCCTTTAACCCCAGCTCTTGGGGGGCTGTAAACAGGTGGATCACTACGAGTCCGATCTAGTAGTGAGATGCTGAACACCCTGTAGACCCTTCCCTAAAATTAAAAAATAAATAAATAAATAAAAATCATACTGCCTTGGATCCTCCCTACAGCAGTACCATAAAGGTTCTTCTACTGTAAGGTTGACACATCATCCATAAATGTGGATTGACTCCTTTATTTCAGAATACAGCAATTTTAAGTAGCTAATGTAATTTAGAGAAATCATTTAGATTTGTGTTGACATGGACTTTCAGTGCTAACTTGCCTTTACAGTTTCATCTCTCCCTTGAAATCACTGTACTCTCTGCTCCTCCACACTCCTTCCAAACAATGAGTCTCAGCATTCTCAGCTGCTTCTCACTGTCTGAGCAACACATAGACTCTCCCCTCTCTGTGCCTGGAAAACCCTTACGTCACTTCTCTCTGGCCTCAGGTCACTCCCAGCCCCCGTCAGACACACAGGATTGTGGGACAGAGCACACCCTGCCTGTACCCAACCCAGTCCTGGGAAGTTCTGTGTGAAAACATAGCGTATCAGCACTTGGAATGCGTTCTCAAACTCAAAGATGCTGTTCTGCCTCAGGGTGGACCTATTTGACATCGACTACTGCCTTGTGAGTCTGCTTCTCCAGAGCTCTGATTAGTTTAAAAAGAAGAGAAACTGGATTTAATCTAGCCCAGATTCCACAGGACCTAGCACAGTGCTTCCTTCTATTCTTTAATAAAAGAAAATGAAGCATTATGTGGTTCTACCTATTTGGGGAGATTTCATTACAAAGTACATGCCTCCCTCCATCATGATTTCAACAGTACAACCATTATTTATTGTTACTGAGATTTTTAAAAAAGAGAGGCCCTTATTTATCTACTAAAAGTGAACCCATTTCACAGAACTTTTCCAATTTTGAATGAGATAAATTTTAACGAGAGGCTCAACAGAAAGCTTCTCTGATTCTTTTTGAAATAAAGAAACCTTAGTGTTTTTAATTTAACATTCCCACATTTAGTCATAACCCTCTTTTAAAAAAAGTCAAAGATCTGTAGAAAAAGCAGAAAATTCTGAAAGATGGTTATTGTGGCTGTTTTTGAGCATTCAGTAAGGCTTTGGACCTTCATGATATTTTGATTTTAAAAGTTAAGACAGGGCTGGGGAGATAGCTCAGTGGTCTAAGTGCCTACTTGGCAAGCGCAAGGATCATGCTTTGATCCCTCAGTATGGCATGGCATGCCAACCCCAGAACTCCGGGCATGCTGTGCCAGCCACCAAAAGTGCAGGTGAGGCTGAGACAGAAAACTCACTATGAGTCTGAGCTGCGTAGCAAGACCCTGTACCCAATAAATAAATAAATAAATAGATTTTACTAAAAAAAATGCTGAGTAAAGCCGGAAATATTTACAATCCGCCAATTTCAGATGGCAGTAAAATTTGCCTGTAAATGACCAATTTACCTCATGCTTTTCTTGAAAAACTGCAATTCCAAGACAATGATTTGGCTACAGAAAGCATAGGGCTGTGGGATATGGCACTGCTTCAAATCTGCCGGAGCAAACTAGAGAGAGGAGACTCTCCTCTTTGAAAGTTTTCTGTATTCTGGCTAACAGACTTTGTCTGCTTTGGTTGACAAAGATTAGCTGGCTTCTCGCATTAAAGAAGTTTGTCTTGTAGGGGTTGAAGTGACAAGACAATAACTAAGTGCTAATTGTGCATAACCAGTACTAAAGATATGCAGTCCATTATGGCATGTAATAAATGAAGTGAACACAGAAATATATTAGGTACTTTAATAATGATACCAGTACAGTATTTTGCATCAATGGGAATGGGAACAGTTTTAATGTCAGAATTTAGGAGTGTTTGTCTTACTTGAGTAAGTTCTGAGGAGACAGACTTAATTGTGAATGCAACTTTTTATTTGAATGGGGAAATAAAATTGATAGATGATTTGTAAATAGCATTAACTACCTACAATTGCTTTGCATCATAATAGAATTTAGGCTGGGTTTAGCACGTGAATGATGTTTTCATTTTCTGTGTAGAACAGAGATAAAACAGGTAAGCCTCTCTAATAGGAAAAATGGATAAAGGGCCTAAGTAGGCAGTTCTCTAAAAGAAGAAATACTAGAGGCCACTGGTAATCAAATAAACACCAATTAAAAACTATAATGAGGTACCAACTTCCACCCCACAGGTGACAAGAATTTCTTTAAAAATAATAATTTCCAGTGTTAGCGTAAATGAGACGCATTAACTCATTAACCATTTTGCACGTTTTGGGTGTGAGAAAATTGGTGTAACTTTTGGGGAAAGCATTTTAGTAATATGTAACATAAGTGTGCAAACTTCGCTGTTCTTTGTCTAATTAATTATGGAAATGATCTGTTTATAGAAGCCATTATACTGATAATATAAAAACTTTTGAGGAAACTGCCTCTATCTCAAATCACGGAAGAGAGCTTGTTGTAATATGAGGAGCTGCAACTATAAAACTGGACATAGATTGCTTAAAATACTTCAGAAGAATTTTATTATTTTTTTATTTTTTGTGGAACAGGGGATTGAACTGAGGCCCTTGCGCTTGCCAGGGAAGCGCTTATCCTACTGAGTCATCTGCCTGGCCCCTTTCAGAAGAATTTTAAATGATGGTAAAAATGAACATAAACGAGAAAGCCCATATTTCAAACAGTTTCTTTGCTGTTATTTTTTTTTAAAAACTGCTTAAACATGGCTATACTCTAATGTAGATAATATGTATAATTTGTATTATATACATAGGAAATAGAGTTGCCCATACACTGAGATATTAACACATTTTATTTTGGAAGAGTGAGACATGTAACAATATTCTTCTGTATTATTTTTATTTTCTAAATTTTCTCTTGCAAATATGTAAGCTTTTACAAGCAGGACAGCAGTAACTTTTTTTATTGCACAAATATAACTATTGTTAGTGCTTGATATTAGTGAATCAATAGCAAATAAATTTATTCTAAATTTTTATTCTAAATTTTACACCTTTAAGATGAATATGGATACATAGCACACACATATGTAAATGGCTCTGTGCACATCTGCCTCAGTGCATCCCTATTCTCACTAGAAATAACATGCATTTTCCAATTTACTTTTGGCTAAATGTCACCTGAAACCGAATTACCTTCCTTTGATTCCAAGCATTTTTCTGGCAAGAATCTCTATTTAAAACTATTTCTTATTATGCAGTTAAAGGTGACATCAGAGCCATATTCTGGGCCATGTCCTAATCCTCTACATTTAGCAAGAGATACTACAGAGAAATTTATCTTTTAGGAAAGAGAGGTCAGTGTAGTAGAGTTTCATTAAAGTAAATTATAAACATGAACTTTGGAAAGCTCACTGTATTTCTACTACTTGATATAATTTATTTTATTTTATTTTATTTTCAAACTTTGCAAGTACTAGTGTTTCTATTTTATGGGTATGAAAGACAAACATACCCAAAGTTCCACAGTTAATACACATAAAAGAGTATACATCTCTCTGCAAAGAAAAGTAAAACTTTCAATAAGAAAACCGTAGTTCTTTTGAGTTGAAATTTCCAAAATTGACTAAATCAGCTCCCTTACCTTACAAATAAGGAAAAATGATATCAGAAAAGGCAGAGTGGCTGAGCTAAGGTTAAACAGCCAATTTATGACAGAGCACACAGTAGAATTTAGGATCCTAGATTCGCAGTGCAAAATTCTTTCCATTGCTGCTCTTTAATGCTGATAATTGCCTGATTACTAGCTCTATCTGGTCCCATCCGCAAAGAGATTTGAGACAACCTTAAAAGTCATTTGTAAAAATAAAATCATGTGTAAGCCATGGTTACAGATTAAGAGAAGATATCAAAATGAAGAAAAGCTATGAATAGAATAAATAAAATAGAAACAAAATACCCATTACACATTCAGGTATGTTTGCTGGGGTGTCCATTTACTTGCTCACTAACGTAATGTGAAAGAGTAAAGGTATTTTAAATTAGCTCTGAAAAAGCCAGAAGAAGAAGAAGAAGAAGAAGAAGAAGAAGAAGAAGAAGAAGAAGAAGAAGAAGAAGAAGAAGAAGAAGAAGAAGAAGAAGAAGAAGCCCCAAAGTTGGTAGAAGTATGCTCTGCTTAGTCCCACGCTGTTCAGTGCTGCATTTCTTTCAAACTTCATCTTAAGACCTTCTACCCCCACAGATTAGTTTCAGGCACTGACTGCATTTTTTGCAGGAAACAAAAGTCCTGAGATTAATTGCTACTTAAGTGAAGTATGCCCATATCGTTGTCACCGATGAAGTCACTAGCCAGAAGAAAGAGGATTTCCATTTAGGAGAAGCCAAAAAGATTCGTGCTTACCTCTGATTACAAAGCTGACAGGCGAAGCAGTCCAGGTGGTAGACGTTGTCCTTGGCCCTCATAACCATTTCAAAGGCAGGGATGAGCTTGCTACAGGCAGCACAGTTGCCCGTTACACCGAACAGCCTACAACAGAAAACATGTTTTTCTTCAAACTCAGGGAAATCTGAGACTGCGAGGAGAGAAAGCATTACTATTCCCTGTAAAGCGAGCCAGACGCAATGCCTTACTATGTCCACAAGTGTGTTTTATCCTGGGAGTATATGTAACTGTTCTTCTGCAGAACATCCTCGGTTGACCATTCCTGATGAAAATCACGTCTTGTTTGAAAAGTAAAGGGAGAAGCAAATAGATTGAGAAGCTTACCTGACTGCAGACCAGCAGAAGTCATCAGGGTGCCTTTACAGCCATAACCTACTTGATAGCATATACAATAAATACAAAAGCAATGTAACTCTGATCTTAACATTATATGCTCAACATTTTACTTGGAAAAGGAACCCGTTTGAATGGCTTTCTGGGTTTTTGTGATCGATATTAAAAGGTTTGCTATTATTATTAAAAATACATTTATGAACAAACCATTTAGTAAAAAAAAAATACCCAGTGAAGTACACGAACCTTCTGACCCTATATTATAGTTATAGCTATGATTATGTTATTCAGGTATCACATTAAAGTACATGAGGCTGTAAACCATAGATAACTAGATCAGGAGCTGAGACGTATATACTGTCAGAACCACTGGAGTTGTTTGGGAAGAAAATATTTTTAAAATATCCTATTTGTTATAGATATCCACAACTGTTATTGTAATGACCTAAAAATAGTGCAGAATAAAATGTCATCATTTCATAAGGAGAAAAAATAGAACATTTTACCCATTTGCACCTGGCAATATTTTAAGCAAGTCCCTTTAAAGTTGTTAATGGTGGTAAAGAATGATTAAAAGTAGTATTTTGTGCATAGTAGCTAATGCACTTTTTAACTGGGAAGCAAACTAGATGAAAAACACCACATCTGCTGGTTTTTTTCTTTGCTCCAGCATCGGCCTGACAGGAGAAAAATATAATGGCTCTCATGGGAAAGAACAAATTAAAAGCAGTTCTAAACTAATGAATTCAAAGGTGCTATGGAGAAAACTCATTTTGGTTATAAAAATGTACTTTAAAAAATCTTAGCCTTTCATTTTTGTAAATTGAAGGATTACGCACAAACACGCGAAGTCTCTCTTCCTACTTCTGTCTGCGTCCTTCAGAGAGAAGTCTCAGCTGAAGACATGCATGTTCGTTTTTTAGGGTTGTAACCATTTCTTCCCACCAGGCTAATGATAGCAGTTAGGTAGAATTGGGAGCACAGTGTCGAAGTGGCTGGCGAAATGCACAATACATGTTTACCCTCATGTGTCTCTTAGCTGGTCTATTGGAAAACGTAAGCGCCTTGAGGGTAGAAACTGCAAATGCTTTCTAAACAGTGTGCTAGCCTTACTGGAGGACTTGCTATAAAAGTAAGAAAGATTTAGAGTTGAAGAGATTGAATTCAAAATTGTTAAGTGTTTATCTTCTTTGACAAATGTTTATCAAAAAATATAGCTCAACCTATATGTTCTCAGTTTAGAAATCCATAGTTTGAGAAATTATTTTCTCTTTAAAAAAGCATTCTCTGAAAAATATGGTATCTGGCATCTCTTGCTGGCATTGTTAAACATGAAACCATTGCAAACTGAAGCCTTCATCCTGTTCTGTGAGCAGAAATTTTTGGTAGATTTTTAAAATTTAACATTTAGTTTTCAGTGTGCTTCACATGATCTGTTCAGGAGTCACATAGCTTGCATGTGCATTGGTGTCTTCTGTCCTTTATTATTTTTGAGAAACAAAGAAAACATAGCTGTGCTTTATTCCAGATATAGATATATTTATGGATATAAAATCTGGCTAATATGAGATAAAGCCATTGTTAAGAATTACTCCGTTTGCACATACCTAATAAACACACACACACACAATGCCATTTTGAAATTCTGGACATAGTTTTCCCCAATTTCAATTGCTCTCTCTAGCTGAGCATTTATCAGCTACCTGATTAGAATTTGTTTCCACACAAACCATTGATCATCAGCCTATTACTAGGCAAATGACAGTTAATTACCCACTACATTAACCACTGGGACCTGAGACCTGCTTCTGCTGCCATCAGTCAACATGATAAATGTGGCAAGTTCAGTAATGCATGGCCAGCCCTGAGCTGCCTGCTGTACTGTGAACAACCCTCAATCTCACTTCCAGGCCCGGGAAAATCTATGGCAATCTGCATAATTACAAGCTCTGGGTTAATAACAGACAAATGATTTGTTGCATCTAAACAAAGTCCTTGGAATGGTCCTGGTCTCTGGTGGCTGCCCACACGGGGCAATGCCACTGGTATACTTTCCACTACAATGTGCACTAAACAGTCCTCTGATGTTATAGCCTTCCAATTTGTTGCCCTCCAATTTATGGATTCTGCATATGTGATTTTTAATCATTAAAGGACTCTTGAAGCAATATTATCTTAATTATTCTCTGCTGTAACCAGGGAATTAGGCTTCAGATAAAATTTTCTTCTTCCATGCACTTTTCCTGCCTCGCTGGAGGCCCCATCAGTTTCCATCTACACCTGGACTCTGAAATCCTAATGATGAATTATTGCCCCTTTTCCTAAGAGGGCCAACCTTACAAGGGAACATTTTACTGAACTGTCAGCTCACAGACTGAGTGCGGAGATGCGGAAATCTGATCTAATTTACTGCAAAACGATGCATTTGTTAGACTTTTCCCTCAGTTTTGCCCAAGGATCAAGAGATAATTCTATAGCCACATTCCCATTCTCCTTTTCCTCCGGGGGGCTAGAGGTGCAACCCCAGAGTCTTCAGGCAAGGCAACAAAGTTGTATTTTATAAAATGCGGTTTTCAGATGTACGTTATTCTTCCATTTCCAAACATGACATTTGGATTCTCAGGCAAAAAGAATTTTCATATGTATCAGTTGAGCTCAAGGCAGGCTTACGGTCCTCATTTGTAAGATTTTTGTTTTTTCTAACACATCTAAGAAATATTCAAGAAGAGTATCTTAATTTCCTAATTCATTGAGATTGTTCCTGATCCTGGGAATTCACGTAACCCCTTCCTGCACGGATCAGTCCCATATTCATTTATGAAGACTCTATTGGTCCACTTTTGCATTTGAGCCAGAGATCTCTGCAAGCTCTTGTTTCTCCTGTGTGCGCAGTCTCAGCCCCTCCAGAGGAGGTCTTCAAAGGCCTTAGTAGTACTTCGAGACAGACAAAGCTTTACTGCAGAATCATTTCTGAAATTTTGACCTAAATTAACGATAGTGTACCAGCTCATAAATTTAAGGAGAGAAACTCACTGATCCACTTTGCTTACTTTAATATGTGGCACAGATTACCAAAGCTTAGGCAAGGTTCAGTGTGCTAATTAGTGGGCTAGATTCTTCCCTATCACTTATGCCCATAATCAGCTTTAAGCAATATGGCTTCACTTATTTGCTACACACTACTAAAAGTAGACAGTGTATAAAAGATGACAGGTATGTTTGATACAGTATCAGTGCACATGACTATTTATAGGAATCCAAAGGATGTTTCTGTCCCATTTCCATTCCATTTTTTGCTTTTGCTATCTGGTACTGACAATCTAAAAACAGACACAAGGAGGAAAACCAAATAGACGAGTTTATTATGGAAGAATTCAGCTTATCTGCGCATTGTGTTATTTCCCACCCTGCAGCGAGCAACCACGGAAGTTAAATAATTTGTTGGGGGCATAGTAAGAATTAAGAAAACTGATATTATATTTTTAAAGGCACTCGGAAAATTTTGCACTGTTACTAACTGATCAACAGCTTCAGCAACAGTCATAAATCATATGGACTCTGTATGGCTTAGTGCATATCAATTTCTAAAGTTCCTGAGGGTGGGAGGCAGAGAAAAACTCAAGACATATAATCATTTAACATAGCAATAATAAATATGGTTTACTACCAGGCATTGGGGGAAATGAGTGTTCGTGTATTAGTGTCTTTTATTTCACAGCACCAGATGTTTATATAGATTTTTTAAGCAGGTCAGTAGCTCTAGTCACTAAATCAAATTCTTCCGAGCTATGGGAAGCATAGTATTAGGCTAAAATTAATTTATCATTTGAGGGAAATACACATATAAATATCAATTGTAGTAAGCCGTAATTCTGAATGAGGATTGCATTTGCTAATTTGGAATCCTAATTTAATGACTTAACTACAGTATTTTTTCCCCTGTAATATTGAAGAGAAAGCCAGTATAGGTGGTGGCCTTATTTCTTGAGAATAACTAGACATGAGCAGAAAAAGAAAAGTTGGATTTTTTTCCAAGGACGTGAAACTGTGGGTCAATGGCAAATATCTTTAACATTTGACTGTTGGCTGCTTAAGTTTTAATGAATATGTTATTTGGGAAGGAAGGGAAAATATTCACAGATTGATAAGGACAATTGCTGCTTATTTATTACAAACACAGTTTTCATCTCTTTTCCTATTTTACTTTTTTAAATAAAGAAGGGAGTGACAGAAAATCAGCATAATTTAAACACCCAGTTCTGTTTTAAGCTTAAAATGCTCACCCATTACTAGGCTGAAGAGAGTGGAACCTATTGTTCTATGTCAAGCTGGGGCTTTGCATGCACTGCAGTGTCACAGAGATAAAGACCTTGTGGGAGTTAAAAACAGTTAAAAATAAAACACTGAACAGTCAAAGATATACAGAAAAAAATAGATGACATATTTCACTCGATTTTGAACCACATCCTTAAATGTTGCAGTTCAGTTTAGCACAGACTTTTAGGATTTGTTCTTGGAAATAATAATACTGACTTTTCCTAAAATTGAGATAGAAAAGATAAGAACCTGAGGAAATTTGAAAGGAATAAGATACATCACTTGCTTAAAGGAAACTTAGGGATTACTTATTTCATAACTACATATTTGTATTCTAAGATATTGGCCTTAATTTAGCTTAATTCAATCTTTGTATGCAATAATTTTTCCCTATTAAATACATGAATCATAATAAATAGAAATATAAAAGCTAT